CACTGGACCACGCGCGCGAGAACTTGGCCGGATTGAATTGCCCTCTGAACTTGGAGATTGGCGATTTTCACCAGTGTCTGCGGGACTACCCTGAAAAGGCCGACTTGATCGTGTGCAGTTTCGCCATGCACCATCTTTCGACCGAGGAGAAGGCAGACTTCTTCCAATACGTCGCCGAGAAGCTGGCCGACGACGGGATGTTCCTGCTGATCGACACGGTGCGGGCCGAAGGGGAAGACCGCGAGGCGTACCTGAGCAACTACTGCACTGAGTTGCGCTCGAAGTGGGATTGTTTCTCGCCGGAGGAGCTGGACGAGGTCATCGAGCACATTCACAACAAAGATTTTCCCGAGACCGCGGCCACACTCCGCGAGATGGGAGCCGCCGCGGGGCTGACCCAGTGCGAAGAGCACCCCTACCACACGTGGCATGGCACGCTGTGTTTCGAGCGAGGCTCGAGCTAAACACACCCGCTAGTGCTGCACGTCGGCGAATTCTTCTTGCAGCACCTTCAGGGCTTCCTGACCTTTGGCACCTTCGACGGCCACGTTCACGCGGACTTCGCTGGTGCTAATCATCTCGACGTTGATCCCGGCGCGGGCCAACGCGGAGAACATGCGAATGCCGACGCTCGTGTGGCTTCGCATGCCGATCCCCGAGACCGAAAGCTTTCCCACAGCGGGGCTGCTTTGCACAGGGCCGCAACTCAACTTGTCGGAAACCTGTTTGACGACCTCAACGCCCTTTTCGACATCTTCGCGCGGCACGGTGAAGCTGAGATTCGCACGACCACCCACGCCGTAGCCTTGCACGATCATGTCGACGAGGATTCCGCCGGCGGCCACGTCTTTGAACACCTTGGCCGCGATGCCCGGCTCGTCGGGCACACCGCTGAGGGTGATCAACCCCTGCGATTCGTCGAGGGCGATGTCGTCGATGGTGAGGTCTTCCATCCGCGTGAGGCGATCGAGCCGTTCGACCACGTCCAGCGGCTGCGATTGCGGGGCGGCCAGTTGTTCGGCCGCGGGTTTGTCGGCCGCCGCGGGGTCGGGGTCTTGGTCGAGTTCGAACACCTGATGCACGAGGCGTAAAGCCTCGAGTCCGTGCTCGCGTTCGACCAGCACCGAAATCTTGATCTCGCTGGTGGTGATGGAAAGGATGTTGATGCCGGCATTCGAAAGCGTCTCGAACATCCGCTGGGCCACACCGGTTTGCGTGGCCATGCCGAGACCGACGACGGAAATCTTCGACACATGCTCGTCGTGCACGAAGCTCTCAGCGCCCAACTCGGTAGCGGCGGCTTCAACCGCTTTCAGCGTTTGCGGGAGTTCGTTTTCAATCACGGTGAACGAGATGTCGGCTTTCCCTTCGGCGCCCACGTTTTGCACGATCATGTCGATCGTCACGTTCTGCTCGGCGATCTTCTTGAAGATCACCAGGCTGATTCCCGGACGGTCGGGCACGCCGCGAATGGTGATGCGGGCTTCGTTCTTCACCAGCGCAGCGCCACTCACCGGGCGGTCGGCACTCTCGGGCTCGGCCACGATCAAGGTGCCGGGCCGGTCGCTGAAACTGCTGCGGACGTGAATCGGAACCGAGAACTTCTTGGCGAACTCGATCGAACGGCTGTGCATCACCCCAGCCCCCAGGCTGGCCAGTTCGAGCATCTCGTCGTAGCTCACCTGACGAACCATGCGGGCTTCAGGCAGATGCCGGGGATCGGTGGTGTAGACCCCGTCGACATCGGTGTAAATCTCGCACGCGTCGGCTGAAAGCACGGCGGCCAGAGCCACGGCCGTGGTATCGCTACCGCCGCGTCCCAGTGTGGTGATGTTGAGTTCTTCGTCGGTGCCTTGGAAGCCCGCGGCGATGACGATGTTGCCGTCGTCCAGCAGACGTTCCATCCGTTCGGTCGAGATTGAGCGAATGCGGGCCTTGGTATGCGTGCTGTCGGTTTTGATACCAATCTGGGTGCCGGTGAGGCTGACGGCCTTGCCACCCAGGGCGTCGATCGCCATGGCCATCAGCGCGACGCTGACTTGCTCTCCGGTGGAAAGTAGCATGTCCATCTCGCGGGCCGGGGGGCGTTCGTTGATCTCACCGGCCAGAGCGACCAGCAGATCGGTGTTCTTACCCATCGCGCTGACGACCATCACCACGCGATTGCCTTGCTGATGAGCACGTACCGCTTTGCGAGCGGCGGACAGAATCTTTTCGCTATCGGCGACGCTTGTGCCGCCAAATTTCTGCACGACCAGGGGCATGCAAGTTTCCTACTTCGAAAACAAACCAGAGATGTCAACAAAACCGAAATGAGCCCGCTTTTACTTCAACGTAAATTGCTTACGACGTCTTCAGGAATGTCTCCATCAACCGCCAACCTTCGTCGAAGGACAGATCGGACTTGCCGGCGGTTTCTTCGTCGTAGGTGATGGCCCCATCGGGGACCACTCCGGTGCCGGCCAGCGCAAAAGGCACAAAGCCGTGGCTGTGCGTTTTGGTTCGCAGCGGCGTGGGATGATCGGGGCTGACCAGAATGCGGTAATCGCCGTGCGACTTCAGGGCTTCGTGCACCGGGCCGACAATGTGTTCGTCGATTTGTTGCAGGGCCTCGATCTTGGCCTCGGTATCGCCTTCGTGAGAGGCCTCGTCGGGGGCTTCAACGTGCACGCAAACCACGTCGGTGTCGTTCAGGGCTTTGATCGCCGCACGGCCCTTGGCAGCGTAGTCGGTGTCGAGGTAACCGGTGGCCCCTTCGACTTCCAAACGCTCCCAACCCAGCAGCGTGGCCAGCCCCCGCAGCAGGTCAACGGCCGTAATCATCACGCCGCGCTTGCCGTGCAATTCGAGGAACGGTACCAGCGACGGGACACTGCCTTGCCCCCACAGCCATACGTTGGTGGCGACCGGCTCGCCCCGTTCGCGACGGGCTGCGTTCACCGGGTGATCGGCGAAGAGGCGGAGCGTTTCGCTCATCAAGTGATTCAGTAGTTCGCCACCAGGGCCACGTGGGTAGTCGTCCAGCACCGACTTGTCGGTCAGGTCGTGGGGCGGTGTTGTGCGGGTGTCGATGGTGAAGGGAGCCGCCTCATCGCCCGGGCGGTAGATCAGCAGGTTGCGGTAGCTCACGCCGGGGCGGAACTCGAGGTTTTTGGTGCCGAGTTGTTCTTGGGCGGTGGTAAGCAGCCCTCGTGCTTCGGCCGAAGAGATTTGACCGGCGGTGAAGCTCTTCATCTCCTGGTCTTCGATGGTGACCAGGTTGCAGCGGATGGCCCAATCGTTGGGGCCCAGCTTGATGCCTTGGGCGGCTGCTTCGAGCGGAGCCCGACCGGTGTAGTGGGTCATCGGGTCGTAACCCAACAGGCTCAGCGTGGCCACGTCCGATCCGGCGGGTAGCGACGGGGGGACGTTGTTCGCCCGACCGACTCGCCCGGCGGCTGCCACGGCGTCCATATTCGGTAACTTGGCCGCGGCCAGGGGGCTGAGACCGCCCAACGATTCTTGCGGTTCGTCCGCACAGCCGTCGGGGATCACAATCGCGTATTTCATGGTCGATTCCTCTACCTGGGCACCGGGCGACTAGTCGCGGACCCGCATGCGAACGCTCCGCGAGCGAACACATTCCAATTCGTCAATTTCAGACACCGCGCGAAGCGTCGCTCCCTCGGTCGTCTTATGGGTCATGATCACCAGCGGCACCACACCGTCCTGCTTATCGCTAGCGGCGTGTTGAATCACCGAGGCGATGGAGACCTGGTTCCGCCCCAGCACGGTGGCGATATCGGCCATCACCCCGGGATGATCGTCGACGTCGAACCGCAGATAGAATCGGCCCGGCACGTTGGCGTGTTCGCGAGGTGTCACGCGGGCTTCGCGACGCGACCATAGCTCAAGCGTTTGGAACGTAAGCCGGGTGCGGCCAACCACGGTGTCGATCATGTCGGCCACCACGGCCGAGGCTGTCGGCATTTGTCCCGCGCCCAGTCCGTGGAAGAAAACCGGGCCCACGGCATCGCCCACCACACTAATGGCGTTGAATGCCCCGCGGACTTCGGCCAGCGGCGTGCCCTTCTTCACCAGCGTGGGAGAGACGTGCAGTTCCAGCCCCTCGGGAACCAACTCGGCCACGGCCAGGAGTTTGATGCGGTAGCCAAGTTCGCCGGCGTAACGGAGGTCGGCCAGTTCGAGTGTGTCGATGCCCCAGCAGGGGATCTCGCTCCAATGCACGCGAGCCCCGAAGGCCAAGTGCGCCAGGATGGCCAGCTTCTGGGCCGCATCGGTACCGTCGACGTCCATTGAGGGGTCGGCCTCGGCATAGCCCAGTCGTTGGGCTTCGGCCACGGCGTCTGCGTAGCTGGCCCCATGCTCTTCCATTTGCGAGAGAATGAAGTTGCTGGTGCCGTTGAGAATGCCGTGCAGCAGTTCGATTTGATTGGCCGACAGGCACTGGCTCACGTTGGTGATGATCGGAACACCGCCCGCGACCGAGGCTTCAAAGGCGATCGACCGGCCCAGCTCGCGGGCGCGATCGAATAACTCGGGCCCATGCTCGGCCAGCAGGGCTTTGTTCGCGGTGATCACGTCTTTGCCGCTTTCCAGCAGCTTGAGCATGATCGAGCGGGCCGGCTCCAGCCCACCGATGAGTTGAGCCACCGCGGTGATCTCAGGGTTGTCGGTCACCTCTGCCAGATCGTCGGTGAGCAACCCCTCGGGCAATTCGGCCTGGCGGGCCTTGTTGAGGTCGCGGACCACGACCTTTTCCAGCCACAGCGTACGGCCAGCGTGACGAGCGGTGCGATCGCCGTAATCCAGCAGCAAGCGGGCCACGCCCGAGCCGACGGTGCCCATTCCGACTATCGCAACTTTGGTCTTATCCATCCCCGAGAGCTTCCGCGCGTAAGCTGTTGTCAACGCTGATCGAACCCGTCATCGTAAGACCCCTATAGTGGGGTCGTCAAGCGTGGGGTTTTCAGGCAAAAACCCGTCGAATGCAGGGCCGATCAGGCCGGTTTCAAGAAGTTCCGCAACGGACGCCATTCCTTGTTTCCGACTGGCTTCAAGATGGCTGCGAGGTTTCCTTGCTGGTCGAGAGCCGCGACTTCTGCCGGGGCGGGCTCGGCCATCGTTCCTTCAAGCTGAATCGCTCGACCGTGGCTGACGAGTTCTTGTTGCGATTCGTCTAACTGAACTTGAGGCAACGCCTCCACGGCACGCAGTGGGGGCAATAGCAACTCGACGATCTGCTCCCTGGATAGTTCATCGGGGGCGATTGCCTCCTCGGCCGAGAACGAACCGATGGCCGTGCGACGCAGCGCCGACATGACAGCCGCCGTGCCGAGATGCTCGGCGATGTCGCGCCCCAGCGAACGGACGTAGGTTCCCGATCCGCAGCGTATGTCGAGCCGCAGTTCGGGGTACTCGTAGCTGGTGATCTCCAGACCGTAGATCATTACCGGCCGGGCTTCGAGCTGGGGGGCGTTTCCACGACGGGCCAAGTCGTAAGCTCGACGTCCTTTTACCTTGATCGCCGAGTAGGCCGGCGGACGCTGCATGATTTCGCCGCGAAACGAATCGAGCGTGGCCGTTAGCTCGTCTAGGGAAGGTTGCGGGGGGGAGTCTAACGGTGTGACTTCGCCCTCGATGTCATCGGTCGGGCTTTGCTGACCGAGCAAGAATGTTGCCCGGTACTGCTTCGGCATCCGCTGTACATGCTCGATGAGCCGTGTGGCCGAACCGACACAAACCACCAACACGCCTGAGGCCAACGGGTCGAGCGTGCCGGCATGACCGGCCTTCGACGGGCGAACTAGTTTTTGCACCACGTTCACTGCATCGCGTGAAGTAACGCCGCTTGGTTTATCAAGATTCAACAGACCAACTGGAGACACGCTTACTCGACTTTCCTCTGCTTGAGTGGCAAGAATGGCGCAAGCGGCAAGAAGCCATGTTCTGGCCGCTGGCGACGCCGTACCAATGGAATAGACACCCCACGTTTGCCCGATTGTAATGGTTGTAACGCTTCGCCACAGAGGGAGTAAGTTGGGATGCCCTGGCACGCGAAGCGGAATCTTCAGTTCGCACCACCGCCGATTTCGCCGATCGCGTGTTCGGACCTGCTATCTGCTTGACCGAGCATGGTTTGTGTCCTAAGTATCTTTAGGCATTTTGTCTGAAATAAAAACTGTTCTGACGGTGCCTCACGCTTATCTGCCGAATGTTCCGTTTCGGCAACGCTGTTGCGAAAAGATTTCTATTGATCGGCTAAGGCAAGAATGCCAAGTGCCTTGCGCGCGAATGGCCGACAAGTTGGTGCAACCAAGAAACGGGGAAACGCATGAATGCGATGGTAGCCGATTCGACTGCACACGCCGTGGGCGTGACCACGGGAAGTTCCGAGTCTGCGGCCCGCGAGAGTGCTCGCGTGTTGCTCAGCCGGCTTTTTCCGCAGCGAAAGGCGATCGAGCGTCGCAAGGAACAGCGGTACGCCTACCCGCACCTGATTGTGCTAACCCCGTTGGCGGCCGACAATCGAACCCCCACCGACGAAGCCATCGTGGTGGCCGGCAAACATCTCTCGGAATCGGGCTTGGGGTTCTTCCATCCCTCGCCGCTGCCATACCGCCGGGTGATTGCTTCGCTGGAGACGCCCGAGGGCGGCAAAATGGCCTTCATGATGGACCTGAATTGGTGCCGTTTCTCCCGCCACGGGTGGTACGAAAGCGGCGGCAAGTTCATCGATGTGGTCGAGTCACCGCTAAGTTCGTAGGCGCGGCATTCGCTGGCATCATCGCCTGACCTCGCAAATCATTCCTTCGACGAAGGGGCCTTACTTACGCTCACTTCGTAGAGTTGTGACTTCAGTGTTTCGGCGCGTTCCACAGTCCAATGCTGCGTGAAGTCTTTGCGAGCCTTCTCGAGTGCTCCTCGTTCTTCTTCAGCCATCTTCTGCAACTGCTTCTTGAGTCGCTTGCGGGTTGTTTCTTCTTGCAACAACTCGAAGGTGTGAATCGCGTTGGCGTGATCGTTGATTTCACCCAGCACGTATTGCAAGTTCGATACTTCGGCGTAAAGCTCTTTGCGAAACGAAGCATCGAAAGCTCCGGCCAACAGTTCCATGGAATAGCGCAAGTGCTTGGCTTCGATGCGAAACTCATGCAACGCTTCGATGGCCGACAAATCGGACAACGCCACGGCGAAGAACTTATCGAGCACCTGCGTGAGCTGATACTCGGCAAAGGTGCCGAAGCTGGTGTCGTGGTTTCCGTTCTGCGGCGCCGCTTCACTTGTCGGTACTTGCAGGTTGTGTACCGACTCCAGCAACGCTTCGACCCGGCGTTCGAACTTCGCAGGCGGAAACTTCTTGGCGATTTGTTTTAGTGGCGTCTGGGCTTTTCGCCTTCGCTTGTGAACCCAATCGAGAAGCTCGTCCCAGGGGGCATCTTTGTTTTCTTTCGCCAGTGCTTCGATGCGCAGTGCGAGCACGTCGCAGTCGCGGGCAGCGCCCCCGGCGCGGCGAATCTTACGCAACCGCTTGAGCATCTTGTGAGCAAGTCGCTCCGAAAGCAGGGGCGCGAAGGTTGCAATGGCCGCCATCGCGCGTCGCGTGGCCACGCGCAGTTGATGCACGTACTCGATGTCGTCGTCGCTGTGGTCGGCCGCTAACGGGAGATAGTGCGACACGACATCGAGCCTTCCCCGCAGCGCAAGGGTGGCGGCTTCGCTGGCCGGTTGCGAAGGCGAGTCGACCTCAAGCCATTTGCTCTTGCGAATCATGCGGAAACCATCTTGGCTTCGAATCGGGATGTAGTGGTCGTTGACTATCTCCGACAATCGACCAGTTCGAACCCATCGAGACCCGTGGAGAAAACTCCCAATTGTCGCAACCCGCCGGTCACGAGTCCAACGGGTTTAACAATTGAAAATCGGATACACCTGAGGGAGAGAATTGCTCGGGCGTAACTGATAAGCAAACAGCAAGTTAGGTGATTTCAGACCTCGCTGAAGCCCCTAATGCAAGGGCGTTGAGAGCCGAATACGCTCACTCACCTGAGGGGTCGGAAGTGGAATCCGAGCTGAGAAGTTCGGCCACAAGCGGGCCGAGCGCTTCGCCCCGGGCAGTGGTGCTGACCACATTTCCTTCGCGGTCGACCAGAACTGGAAAGGGAATCGCGCGTACCCCGTAGCGTTGCGCTACCGGGTTGGGTTCATCGGGCCCTTCAAACAGGGTGACCCAAGGAATCTCGTTCTCGGCCAGAAACTTCTCCAGCGCCTCACGGTCGCGGTCGAGGCTGATGCCCACCACTTCGAAACCCTGTTCGTGATATTGATCGTAAACTTCCTTGATGTTGGGAACCTCACGAACGCAAGGCCCACACCAGGTTGCCCAAAAGTCGACCAGCACTACGCGACCGCGATAGGCTTGCCAATCGAAGTCGAGCCCGTCGATGGTTGCCCCGTCGATCTCCAGCGGTTGGCCAACCAAATCGGCAACCGGCTGTTCCTCTTCCGCCTTGGCGAGCTTTTCGAGGGCCTTGCGAATGGGGACCAGCTCACGCTCGTTGCACTTCGCCAGCCGCTCGGACATCGACGCGGTTAACGTTTGCACCATCGTCTTGTCGTCGATGAGCCGCGCCGCTTTCACCACCAGAACCAGCAGCCGGCGGTGCTTGGGGCCGGGTTCCGATTCGGCCAGCAACTGTTCGCTATCGGTGAGGAACTGCTTCAACAGTTCCGTATCGTCCGACTCGGCATTCAGCGCCGTATATTCAAGGATGTAAAGTCGAGCGGCCTTGGCCACATCCTCGTTGGAATGCCCATCGTACTTCGGCGCCAGTTCTTCCAACTGCCGATCGGCAGCCCCGTCGCCACTGAGGGCGGCGAAGTGCAACACTTCAAGGTGAGCCAGAATTGCGGCGCTGCGCAGCGAATCATCCACCTCGGCGGCTTGAATACGATCGGTCGCGTCGATCACCGCGGCGATGTACTGCGGTCGCGCCCGAACCGTATCGGGGCGACCGAGCATCTTCGTCACGTATTGCATCAGGGCCTCGGGAGAAAGCCCCTCGGCAGCAAGATAAGGGTTGTCCTTCGCAGCCGGTTGAGCATCTTGCTGCTCTCCCTGCACGACACTGGCCGCGAGCAACATGCTTAGACTGCCTGCGGCGCACCATCGCCACAACCGCGGGGACAACCATCGCTCGCTCATGCGAACCTCAAGAATCGGTGGAGGCGGTTTCGGCCGGTTTGTTCAGCAGGGTTTCCAATTGCCGTTGGAGCTCTTCGCCCCGCACCCGAACACTGAAGATCTTACCATCGCGGTCGACCAGCATCGTGAAGGGAATCGCCTGCACGTTGTATCGAGTGGCCAACGAGTTTTCGAACCCGCTACCGCCGGCATCATCGCTCACCAGCGTCACCCAAGGCAGCTTGTTGTGCTTGAGAAAATTGTCGATCTCTTCTTGGCTGTTGTCGAGGCTGATTCCCAGCACGTCGAAGCCCTCTTCATGGAAGGCCTCATAGTTTTTCAACACGTTGGGCAACTCTTGCAGACACGGTCCGCACCAGGTGGCCCAGAAATCGACAAGCACTATCTTGCCTTCGTAGTCGGCGATGTCGACTGCGGTGCCGTCGGAGGTGAGCCCGGAGATTTCAGCCTTGGTGCCGATCAGTTCCAGTATGTCGGCAGTTTGGTCGAACTTGTCTCCCAGCGGGGCAATCTGACCATCGCCGTGATCGCGGAACAGCTTGGCAAAGTCGCGGTTGGTTTGAGCCGCCAACTCGAACTTGCCGGGCGTCTCCAACACCGAGCACAACGTTTGAGCCATGGCCACATCGTCGGCGTCGATTTCGCCGGCCAGCATTTGGGCCTTGATCTCTTTCACCACCTCCGCGGCCTCCTCGGCACTCATGTCCTTCGTTTGGAAGCACATGGCGTAGGTTTTGAAATTGTTCAAATCCTCGGTGATTTGATCGGGGTACTTCTCTGCGAACTCGTTAAAGAACTCGACGGTTTGCGTCCAGTAATCGACGCCATCATCGGTGGCAAGCTGGTTCAACAGCCCCAGCGTTCGCAGCGAATCTAACTTCATCGCGAAGGCGTTGGTAAGCATTTCACCTTCGGGATCGGATTGCAGAATCTTGTCGGCAACCTCAAGGGTGGCCTGCTTGCTCTTGCGAAGATAAGGGAAATAGGCCTCGGCACCCAATGCTCGGGCTTGCCCTTCATTCCGCTGCAACTGTCCCACGAAGAGCATCAATTCTTCAGGCGAACCGTCAGGCACGACGATGGGGGCCTCGGGATCGAGTGGTGCGACATCCGCCACGGGGGCTTCCGGCTGCTGGGCTTGAGGTCCCTCGGCCAACGTTGTTGGTTCAGCTCTCGTCGCTTCTGTATCTACGGTGACCTTTGGTTCTCCAGCCGGACTAGCAAAGAACAACGCTCCGGCGGCACCTACGGCCACCAGACAAATCCCAATTACCGCCTTGGGCAAGAAACCAGACATGCGTATTTCCCTTCGTTAAGAGGTGTGACCCGAGGCCGCAATTGACTGCGATAGATTCTAGGTGGCCACGTCCAGGCGTCTACTACCAACGGGGCCGGGATACGTGGGGCCAGCGTCGCCTATCCACTGTGAAAGCATACGCAGGACAAGGGAATTCGGTTCAGAATCGCCCTCGAAACGGCCGTTTATGCGGGTTTTTCTTCCCCGCGGCGGCGGTGGAACTCGGTAATCAGGTCCCAGGCCTCCTGAGGGGTTTCGGCGAAATTGAACAAATCCAGATGCTCGTCGAGGATCACCCCCTCGTCGGCCAGAAACTGGAAATCGATCACCCGATCCCAATAGTCGCGGCTGTAAAGCACGATCGGGATTTCCTGCATCCGGTGCGTCTGCCGCAAGGTGAGGGCGTCGAACAACTCGTCGAGCGTTCCAAACCCACCGGGGAACACCACCAGGGCCTTGGCCCTCAGTAGAAAGTGCAATTTGCGAATGGCGAAATAGTGAAACTGGAAACAGAGCTCCGGCGTGATGTAAGGGTTCGGGGCCTGCTCCATCGGTAGCGTGATGTTCAGCCCCACCGACTTGGCACCCACGTCGAACGCTCCCCGGTTGGCCGCTTCCATCACACCGGGACCACCACCGGTAACGATCACATGTTCGCAATCGCCATCAACCTGGCACGCTTGCGAAACGATTCTCGCAAACTCGCGAGCTGCATCGTAATAGCTGCTTTTGGCCAACAGCCGGCGAGTGACTTCCAGGCGGCGCTTTAGCACTGCGTTCTCAGGGTCGGCTTCGAGTGCCTTTTCGGCCACGGCCACACGCTGCTCGGCGTGCGACTGTTCTGAGATTTGCGTGCTGCCGAAAACCACAATCGTGGAGTGGACCAGGTGATCTTGAAATGCTAACTCCGGCTTGAGCAACTCGAGCTGCATCCGCACGGGGCGCAACTCGGGACGGGCTAACAACAGCACATCGCGTTCGGCCAGTTCGTAGCTGGGTGACTTGAGAATCGCTTCGAGATTCTCTTTGGCCAATTTGGCTTGCGCGTCGTCGCTCACAGCTCGGTCTCCAAGGTAACGCTTTCGCCTAGCTTCGGAATGTGCACGTCCCATCCGTGTCGTTCGCGGAGGGCCTCGGCCAAACTGGTTGCGGCATCCAACTCGCCATGCGTCATGAAGACACGTCGTGGAGCAGGCAAGTCGGCCACCCACCGCAACAACTCACTTCGCCCGGCATGACCGCTGAGGCCGGAAATTTCAGCCACGTGGGCTTTCACAGGTACGTCGCGTCCATGCATGCGAATGTACTTGGCCCCGTCCCTTAACGAACGACCACGGGTACCATCGGCCATGTAGCCGGCCAGCACCACGGTGTTGCGTTCGTCCGGCAAACGCATTCGCAGGTGATGCAAGATTCTGCCGCCGGTCATCATGCCCGAGGATGAGATAATCACCGCCGGCCCTGGCACGTCATTGATGCGTTTCGATTCCGACACCGTACGGCAGAGATGAACGTTTCGCCGTTTAAATATGTGTTCTTCCGGCGAAAGATCGTATTCGGTAAGATCGTGCAGTGCATGATGCGCGTGATAAATATGGGTGGCGTCCACCGCCATCGGGCTGTCGATGAACACCGGCAACTCGGGGATGAGATTCTTTTTCATCAGCACGTGCAACAGGTAGAGCAACTGCTGCGCACGACCCACGGCGAACGAAGCCACCAACATCACGCCGCCGCGACGGATCGATTCGAGAACCACGCCGCAGAGTTCATCCAGAAGATTGCCCTCGGGATGATCGCGATCGCCGTAGGTGCTTTCGCAAATCAAGTAATCGCATTCCGGCGGTGGTGTGGGGTCGTGGTACAGCGGTGCGTCGTACCGCCCCACATCACCGGAGAAGACAAGCCGCGTCGGTCGGCTACCTTTGCGAAGTTCGACTTCGATGAAGCCCGAACCGAGCAGGTGCCCCACATCCTGGTACCGGCACCAGATGCTCCCCGCTGGGTTGAACCAGGTATCGAGTTTCACGGTCTCGACCAGGTCCAGCACGTCGGCTGCATCTTTGCTGGTGTACAGCGGCAAGGCCGGCTTGTGTTTTGAAAACCCTTTGCGGTTGGCGTACTCGGCGTCGGCCTCTTGAATCTTGGCCGAATCGAAGAGGATCAACTCGGCCAGCTCGGCGGTGGCGGCCGTGCAATAGATGGGCCCCTCGAACCCCAGCTTACCCAACCGCGGCAGGTACCCGACGTGATCGAGGTGGGCATGCGTCAGCACCACCGCGTCGATCGTCGAAACATCCAGCGGGAGCTTGTCCCAGTTTTTCAGTCGTAGCTTCTTCAGACCTTGAAACAGTCCGCAGTCGACCAGCAGGCGAGCTTTGTCCAGCTCGAGCAGATACTTGGAGCCCGTGACGGTTTCCGCCGCTCCGAGAAAAGTGAGTTTCGCCATTCAGCCGCTCGTCTCGTTTGTGGATGTCCTAAATCGGTTGGGATTTCTGAGAATCCTCGGTCCAGGCGGCAAGCACTCCAATGGCTATCGCCATTCCGCCGAACAACAACACGGCGAACTTAAGATCGCCACCGGGCCCCAACACGGGAAAAGTATCGCATAACCAGGGCCAGCAGACGATCCAACCCCACGAGACCCCGACCGAAATCAATTCCGTCGGCAACAAACGACCCGCCAGCCGCGTGCCGGCCGCGCTCAACACAAGCGACACCAGCGTAATGGAGGTTCCCGCCTGAATGCCCAAGAACAACGAGATGACAATAAGCATTGCCAGAGGGGAATCGATGGTCTGCGAGATGAAGTTCCTTTCCGGCCGCCCACGCATCAGCCAGGCGACGGCTAACACGATTGCGGCAGCGGCAACAGTAGCTGCTACCTGGAAGGACAGGGGCCCAAATCTCGCTTGAAAGTCACTCGCAGAACCAACCCCCGGCAACAACCAAGGCCAAACCACGGGGGCCACCAACGCGACGGCCGCCGCCAGATACCAGATCGCCCGCGGAACACGCAGCCCGTCGAAGCGAATCAGCCCGGCACTCAGCAGCGTGCAAAGCAACAGCATGTGGAAGGCCCACAGCCCACACTTCCAGGCGAACGGCCAGGGTAAATAGGTCTTTAGATCGACCGCGGCCACAGTTCCGCCGTTCTGGAACACTTCGACCCAACCCAGCGATGCAAACAGCACGGCCGTGATGAATTCGATGATGGGGTAACGCGCGGAAATCTTTGCATGGCAGTCGCGGCAACGCCCGCGGAGCCACAACCAGGCCAGCACGGGCACGTTGTCGATGCTCCGAATGGCATGTCCGCAGCTCGGGCATTGTGAACCGGGATGGACGATGCTGCGACCGCGTGGGGGGCGATAAACCACCACATTCAGAAAGCTGCCGATGGCCCCGCCGAAGGCCAACATCCAAAGTAGCAGCAAGATTTCAACCGCCGTGTTGTCGATGGGTAGCAACCTGTCGAACCGTGGAGTGTACTGATCGCTTCAAATAATACCGTGCAACGGTCCGCCACGCACAGCCAAATTGTCCACCCGACGGGTCACCTCTGGGTCTTCGTTAAGCGGTGGGGCGTGGCTCGGTTTAATCCGGGCATCGATCACCAGCGAACCCCGGCATCCCCAGTGCTTCTGCTCAGTGAACGATTCGATCCCGTAGACGTCGGCCGCCGGATTGCTGCGAGTAAACGTGGTCCACAAAAAGTTGTTCAGCGAAGCGGCCGTGAACTCGCTGTCGTCGACGATCACGATCAACGGGAAGCGATTTATTGGGGACTTGGCATCGAACGACTCGACGAACCGATCGATCGCCGAATTAGGCCCGCCGTTGGCGAGATAGTACTCAGGACCCTTGATGGCCAGCACGCCCGGGAAGCAAACCCGAGGGCAGCAGAAGTCGCGCGGCAACGAGAAATCTCCCTCGATCGACGTGGGCAACTCGCGACGCGGAGGCCCCACGGCGGCCATCACCAGCTTCGAACCTTCGTTCAGCCCGTCGCCGGAGTAATCGAGCGTGTCGATGGTGGTTCGCGTTTGAAAGTGCAGGTCGCGCTGGAAGTCGATGCGAGCGAGCAGGTGCTGAATGAATGCGGCCTCGTCATGAATGTCGAGCCCCGGATCGTCCGCTTCGCACGCGATGAGCAAGTACTTCGCCAGCGACATCTGACCTTGCCCGAGAATGGCGTTGCTCTGGGTGAGTAACTCCTGCGGCCGCGTGCGTTCGCCGTACGGCACATAACGTTCGCTGCCAATCGCCAGCAACAACGGGTGAACCCCCGCGGCGTCGACGGCGTGCACAGACCGCACCCCGGGGATGACGGTTGGAATCAGCGGACCGGTGATCTCGTGGATCAACTGACCGAACGCGGTATCTTCCTGCGGCGGACGCCCCACCGTGGTGAATGGCCAGATGGCACCTTCGCGATGATAGACCTGTTCGACCTTCAACACCGGGAAGTCGTGGGCCAGGCTGTAATAACCCAGGTGATCGCCAAAGGGCCCCTCGGGCAATTGCCGCTGGGGATCGACGGTGCCCACAATGCAGAAGTCGGCCTGGGCCGGCACCGGCAGCGGTGTTTGTCCCACGATCATGGGCACCCTGCGTCCACCGAGAGCCCCAGCGAAGGAGAGTTCCGAAAGCCCCTCCGGCAGCGGCATCACGGCGGCCACGCTCATGCACGGTGGCCCGCCCACGAAGATGTTCACGCGAAACGGCTCGCCGCGACGGATCGCTGCGGTGTGATGCACGCCAATCCCACGATGGATCTGGTAGTGCAGACCAATCTCGCGATCGACTTCATACGAACCGCCGGAGATCTGCGAGCGGTACATGCCCAAGTTCGAGTGTTTCAGACCCGGCCGATCGGGGTCTTCGCTATACACCTGCGGCAGCGTAATGAATGCCCCGCCATCATCGGGCCAGGAGACGATCTGCGGCAACTTCGACACCGTGGTTTGATGGGCGAGCACCGCACCGCGCCGCACCTTACGGGGCAGCATGTGCAGGGCAGCCCTCACGGCGGAAAGATGTTTCCAGGGGGCTTGGAGAGCGACCGTGGGATCGATCTTCAACTGCACCAGGCCCCGCACGGCATCGAGCGTGTCGCGGAAGATGAACTTCGTTCGGTCCAGCGTGCCGAACAGGTTGCTGACCAACGGGAAGTCTGTGCCCTTCACGTTGGCGTAGTAGATGGCCGGTCCGCCCGCCTGGTACACACGGCGTTGGATTTCGGCGGCCTCCAAGTGGGGATCGATCTCCTGCTCGATTCGTACGAGCTGACCGGCGGCTTCGAGATCGTCAACGCAATGGCGGAGCGTGCGATAGCCCATCGTTCGGATTCCGGTGGGGCGGTGATGTGAACTAGTCTCGGTCGACCGCCGCCTGCGGCATCCCGTGGTGATAACCGTAGCTGGTCCTTGCAGACAACCGATTGCGTCGAACTTCGAAGCGGATTGCTGCAGCCGTTTCGAAGTTCGACTTGCCGCTCTGTCGAGGTGCTGCAGCTAGAACACCGGCTTGATCTTGCTCAACCGTGCCGCGGTCTCTTCCATCAGGGCGTCTTCGGCCTTCTCGTCGGCCGCTTCGTAGGTGACCGAGAATCGCAAGTACGCGCCGGCATCGTCCCAGGGCACGGTGCAAATCGAGTGCTCGGTGATGAGGTACTGACTCGCCGCTTCGGCCGAATCGAACGTCGTGCCGCCTTCGATGCCCCGCGGAGTGCGGGTGTAGAGGAAATAGGTTCCCTCGGGCATCTTGCACTCGAACCCGCAGGAATTGAGCGTGGCAACCAACTTTTCCATGCGGCGACGATACTTGGTGCACGTGCGACGGGGGATCTCGTCGTCGTTGAGTGCGACGGCGGCTGCCTTTTGAATGGCGATGAACTGACCCGAGTCGGTGTTGTCCTTCACATCGGCGAACGCCTGCACGATGAGCGGATGCCCACAGACAAAGCCGATTCGCCAGCCGATCATGTCGTGGCCTTTGGAAAGGCTGTGCACTTCGACGCCCACTTCCTTCGCACCGGGAGTGCTCAAGAAACTGGTCGGCTTGTCCTTGAAGTTCAACATCGCGTGGGCGGCGTCTTGCACCACGACGATATTATTCTCGCGGGCGAAGTCGACCACCTTGGCGTAGAACTCGGGGGTGGCCACGGTGCCAGTGGGACTGTTGGGATAGTTGATCACCATCAACTTGGCCCGACGGCGCGTTTCGGCGTCGATGCCGTCGAGGTCGGGAAAGAACCCGTTCTCGGGCAACAGCGGCATCTTGTGCACTTCTCCGCCGTAGTACTGCGTGTGGGTGCCAGCGACGGGGTAACCCGGCACGGTCATCAGCGTGATATCGCCGGGGTTGATGAACACTGCCGGCAACATGGCCAGGGCGGGCTTGGAACCGATGGCATGATTCACTTCGGTGACCGGATCGATATCCACATCGAACCAGCGCTTCATGTAGTTGGCTGCCGATTCTTTGAACACGGCGATACCATTGTCGGCGTACCCGCGGTTCTCTGGCTGGTTGATCTCGTGTGCCATTGCGGCACGAACACTCTCCGGAGCCATCTCGTCGTTTTCGCCAATGCCGAAGTCGATCAGCGAGCGTTCAGGATGTTCGGCCAGGGCTTTCCGCTTGGCCCTTTTGATCTTCTCAAACTTGTAGATGGCGGTGCCTTTGCCGTAGTTGGCACCACCGATTCGATCGGCGAACATCTGCTGAAAGTAAGGGTCGCTCATCTCGTGCTAGCTCTGGGTTGGGTTCGATACGGTGACGGAAATGTCGACACCCGCGACGGTGGCCAGGTGAGTGGCCATTTTGGCCCCAGGGCGGACGGTTTTCCCTAACAGCCGATGAGACCGTGCTTTAGCACGCTGAAGCGGGTGCGATTCGATGCTGATTTCGTCCCGTAGCGTAACGAAGCGACCCCCAACCAACAAGCGGGCCCAAGCGGGATCGTTAGAGCTTTGGATCAATCGGGCAAGTCGTTCGCAGGGGCGAAGATAGGCCCGGGAAGCAGGCAAAAATGTCTGATTGTTGTTAGCTACTTCGCCGGGGCATTTGGTATAGTGGGCCTACCTACAAGAGACGCTTCACCGGGCGAACCACGATGTTCGCGAGACGAAGCCCCCACCTGATTACCACCCACCGTGTCGCCGCACACTCGGCGGCAGTAAGCATAAGGCAAGACGGACTTTGCCACCCCAGGAGGCCCACTCCGATGCTCACAATTCTTGGTGAACGAAACCGCTTCTGCGACGGTGTTTCGCGACGCAACTTCCTGAAGATTGGCGCCCTGGGTATGGGCGGTCTGTCGTTGCCAGAGATCCTCCGGGCTGAAGCCGCGGGGAGCACCGAGCCGCAGCCGAAGAAGTCGCACAAAGCCTGCATCATGATCTTCCTGCCGGGCGGACCACCGCACCAGGACATGTGGGACATCAAGGTCGACGCCCCCAGTGAAATTCGCGGCGAGTTCAACCCGATCGCCACCAATGTGCCGGGCATCGATATTTGCGAACTGTTCCCTCGCATCGCCGGGATGATGGATAAGTTCGTGCCCATCCGTTCGGTGTATGGCTGCGCCGGCGGTCACGACTCGTATCAATGCAACAGCGGTTGGCCAAATCGCGGGGCCGATTTCATTCACCCCAGCGTAGGTTCGGTTCTCTCGAAGCTGCACGGACCGGTTGATCGCGCGGTGCCGCCCTTCGTTGGCCTCGCCCCGAAGATGGGACACATGGAATGGGCCGATCCCGGGCAACCGGGTTTCTTGGGCAAAGCCCACGCTCCGTTCCAGCCACAGGGTGCCGGCATGGCCGACATGACGCTCAACGGCATCACGCTCGATCGCATGGGCGACCGCAAGGCGTTGCTGGAAAGCTTCGATCGCTTCCGCCGCGAGGCCGATGCCACCGGGATGATGGAAGGGATGGACGCCTTCAACCAACGGGCGTTCGGCGTGTTGAGCGACAGCAAACTGCTCGAAGCCCTCGATATCGAACGCGAAGACGTGGCCCTCCGCGATCGCTATGGCCGCGGTGAAAACAAGAACATCGCCGACGGTGGTCCTCACCTACTTGATAATTTCCTCATCGCCCGTCGTCTGGTTTCGGCCGGGGTGCGCTGCGTGACGTTGGCCTTCAGCCGTTGGGACTGGCACGGCAACAACTTCGGCCGGGCAAGAACCGACATGCCGATGCTCGATCAGGCCACTTCGGCATTGGTCGAAGACTTGGAACGTCGCGACATGCTCGACGACGTGACCGTGCTGGTGTGGGGCGAGTTCGGCCGCACGCCGCGCATCAATCAGGGTGCAGGGCGCGACCACTGGCCGCGCGTTTCTTGTGCCCTCATGGCCGGCGGTGGCATGAAGACCGGCCAGGTGATCGGTTCGACCAACCGCTTGGGCGAAGAACCGAAAGACCGGCCCGTGCATATGCAGGAAGTGCTGGCCACCGTCTACCACAACCTGGGCATCGACGTGGAAAACACCACGATCGAAGACCAGGCCGGACGGCCTCAGTACCTGCTCGATCACCGCAAGCCGATTCACGAAATCGTGTAACACCGCCAAAGCGGTCTCTACGCTTCCCCGCGGCCAACCACTTCAGCGATGCGCTCTTTCGTGACCGGTTCGATCACGCCGTGTTCGCAGATGATGGCCTTGATCAGTTCGGCCGGGGTTACATCGAACGCGGGGTTGTACACGTCGATCCCCTCGGGGGCTGTCGAAGAGCCGAACCCGTGGGTGACTTCCCGCGAATCGCGCAACTCGATAGGGATTTTGCCCCCGCTGTCGAGCGAAAGATCGAATGTGCTGGTCGGCGCGGCGACATAAAACGGAATGTTGTGGGCCTTAGCCAGCAGAGCCACACCGTAGGTGCCAATTTTGTTGGCCGCATCGCCGTTGGCCGCGATGCGATCGGCCCCGGTGACCACCGCCTGCACGCGACCTTCGCGCATGACCTGCGCCGCCATGTTGTCGCAGATCAGCGTGGCGTCGATCTCTCGCTGGGAGAGTTCCCAGGCCGTGAGTCGGGCACCTTGCAGTAGTGGGCGCGTTTCGTCGACATAAACGTGCAGTTGTTTGCCATTTTCATGGGCCGAGAAGAAGACGGCCAACGCGGTTCCGTAATCGGCCGTGGCGAGCCCTCCTGCGTTGCAATGGGTGAGCACACCTTGCCCGTTGGTCAACAGCGCCGCACCGTGGCGACCGATGGCCCGACACATTTGCCGGTCTTCTTCATGAATGGCTTTGGCTTCTGCGAGCAGCGTTTTCGCAATCTCCTCGGGCGAGGCTTTCCCCCGCAGCGACTCGGCCTTCTTTCGCATGCGGTCAAGCGCCCAAAACAGGTTGACGGCCGTGGGGCGGCTGCTCGCCAGGTAGTCGCAAGCTTCGTTAAGCCGCGTGAAAAACTTTTCTTCATCCGCTCCGGCAGCAGTTTGAATCGCCACGCAGACTCCGTATCCGGCCGCAATGCCAATGGCCGGAGCCCCACGAACCCTTAGCGACTTGATTGCCTCCCACACGGTCTCCACATCGCGGCAGTCGATTTCTTTGAACTCGCCGGGGAGCAATGTCTGATCGATCATCACCAGATGCCCATCGACATCGCCAACCCAATGCAATGTGGCCGGAGGAGACTTCGCAGTGGAGTTCATCAAGAAGGGTTCCTGCTCATGAAGACGTGTTGAATTGAATCGATGCTGCGGTGCAGCCCTAAGCGGGGCTGGGCAATCAGTTCCTAGCGATGACCGCATAACGCTTAATTCGTTGTGCCAAGCATAACATCGTAGCAGGCGCTGGTGGGGAATACGAACGCCACGGCTGCTATGGTGCAAATGAAAACCGGCCCCGACGAATCCTTGCTGTAAAGGTCCGTCGAGGCCGGTTCTTGAGCGTTTAGCCAAGAACAGATGTCTTGGCCAAGCCCACCAATCGCTTGCCAAGACTTGTCTGTTAACTCACCGCTTAAATCGGGGGCAACACCCTGGCCGAAGCCGATTCCGGCGGCGAGAAGCTGGCGTGTTCGAGCGGCAGGAATTGGCCTTCCCCCGGATGGAAGCTGAAGACCTGGCCTGTTTCGAACTTATACACCCAACCGTGAAGGTTAAGTGCTCCACGGCTCTGTGCCGCGGCCACACTGGGATGGGTGCGAAGCTGCTCCACCTGCACCAGCACGTTCTCTTCGACCGTGGCCGAAAGCCGTTGCGCCGAATCGGTGAGGTGTTTGTAGTTCTCTTCGATAATGCGGTGCGTGGCTTCGGCATGGTTGAGCCAGGAATCGACCGCGGGCAGTTTCGCGAGCGAACCTCGGTCGAGCAAACCTCC